GTTGTTATTGCAAGTCAATGGTGACGTGGGAAGTTTTCAATTTCTGGAGAGTGAGGACTGCAGCTATATTTCAAGGAGATTTAGAAAATAATGTGTATGATGGGTACCGAAAAGGCAGAAATCCCATATATAAAAGGTTTATTGAGGTTTATTGTGAAAGGAAAAAATTCAGGAAGAGAACAAAAGAACTGAATGGAGGTTATTATTGTCATCATTATTGCTGTTGGTAATAAACAAGAGAAATATATACACCATGGAAAGTAAAACTAGCTGACAAGAGGTGGCAGAAATTATAGTCATTTAAGAGCTTGGAAAAATCACCTCTATCCAGAAGTCTTGGGTAAAAGAAGAGTGTGTATGGAATGAGAGTTTGAAGTTAATAAAAAGGATAATGAAGCCATTTCTGGTGTCCTCATTTTTCTATGGCAAATATATGGAGGAAAGGTTTGCATAGCTATAAGAAGAGTTTTAGTATAGATGGATGGGGTACCTATTGTGTTTTAACTGTGATCACCTTATTTTTCTAGGTTTATCTTTGGTATATTTATTTGATGAGTAAATCCTAGTATTTAGCAAACCCTTTTTAAATTTGTTGGCACATTCTCTGTGATAATCATTATACTGTTTCACTGTTTTCTAATATTTGTCAAGTTATTGTTAAAGCACAATTTAAAAAAATATTAATTGCTGTAAAATTGTAATTTTAGATATATTAAAATATATTTGTTAAATGAAAATTATATTTGAGTCAAAATATATCAAGTAATTGATTTGCTAAGCTTTCTTTCCCAAAGAAATCTATACAGGTACATGATGGGTTTGATTTTGAAACATTAAAGGCAAATTATCGTGTTAAAATTAAATGACTACTTGCATAATCAGTTATATTAACAAATATAATGCTCTATACAAATATTATGCTCTATACAAGGAAGGTAAATTTTGTCAACTGTAAACAACCCAGAAAGCTCCCAGAATAACCTGTTAAGCCTGCTTTTAATGCATGTTATATTCAAGGTAGATCTGACAGTCCTAGAATGTCCACAGTGAGCGGGTAGCTAGTGGAATCAGAGGATCTATAAGCCATAGGGGATGAAAGGAGTAATTGAAAGGTCTTTCAATGTGAGGATTTGGTTGGAACTGCACCTGTTGCATGTATTAGTTTCGGGTTAGTGTAATAGTAATACAAATACCTTGAAATGAATCCTAAGGAAACAGTTGTTTGATGAATAAGAAAGTTGCTCAATTTTATGAGTCTATAAATTATATAAACTAATTTTCATAAATCTTCTGAAACAAAAATAAAGTATTTATACAGACTTGAAGCCTTGTATTTGTTATTAAGAACATACTAGAACTAAGCATAAAATTTTCTGGGTATAATTTGCTTGGTTCTTGGTATTTGTAGCTGAGGTCCAGAGGCCTCAGTTCTTAATTCCAGAAACAAATTAAGTGCTTATTTATAATGGAAAGTGCTTAACTAAATGCTTTGATTGGAAGACATATAAATTAAAAGATCACATTTACCTGAAATATCTTAAAGTAGCAAATGCTATTACACTTGATTTCTGTGAACAAATTATGGAAAAAGGGACTGGACAAGAAGTGACAGTAATAACTATTTAGAGGACCAGATGCTAAATATAAATTCGTGGAGTTTGGTAGAGACTAGACAGTGTTTGTACCCTCTCACAGCTTTTCATTTTAAAAGCTAAAGAAAGTTTATTTAATCAAAGTACTGTAAGACATGTAATACTGGGTTTAAGAATGTTTCAAGTATACTTATCTTGATCTTCCTGTGTTAATGCACTTTATTCATTGATCTGATTCACTCACATTTCATTTCCTAATATTAAACAAAATATGAAGTGACAACTTTGAAATATAGTTCCAGAAAGTAATTTATTAATGCAATAATAGAACTTTCAAAACTAGGAGATTCCACTAGGGGTTATAAATCAAACAGTAAAGTAAAATAAATATGAGTCTTCAGAAGACCAGCTTTAAAATCTGGAAAAATTAATGATAATTAATATGGGCATATATTAGTTGCTTTTAAAATAACCCATGCAGAAACCTTTATTAAATATTAAGATAGAGAAGTAGACTTAATGTAAAAAAAGTGTTTTACTATGGCAACATTGAGGATTACATAAAGGAAAATTTAAATGAGTGCAGATCTAAGTATACATATAGATTTCAACTCCATGCATTTTTCTCAGGTCTACATAATTAGAAAAATCTAATAGTAAATATTGAGAGTATTTTTTCATCTTCACAAACAAGTTTAACCTCCTTCTATTGTGGTTCTAACAGAAAAAGATTTATTTATTTGTACATACAGAACTGGGGTACAGGCCAGAGGCTCAGGGGCAGTGAGAGGCTTCACCAGAGACAGAGTGGGGAGCAGAACGCAGATCGATGAAGTACACTGCTGAGGGGAGCAACGGGTGGGTCAGGAGAGGTCTGCCACGCCATGTGGTCACCTCCGGGGCAGGCGGGAATCGAACTCATGAGGAAGTGGCTTCAGCTTCTCAGTGCAGTGCTTTAATCCGCTGTGCCACCAGGGAGGGCCGAGTTTCTTTTTTGATTGTGGAGTAATATTCCATTGTGTAAGTATATTGTATCTTCTTGATCCAGTCATCTATTTTTGAACATCTGGGTTGCTTCTATAGCCTACCTATTGTAAATTATGCTGCAGTAAACATAGGGATTCAGGTGCCCTTTTGAATTAATGTTTTTGTTTCTTTTAGGTAGGTTCCTAGGAGTATAATTACTGGATCATGTGGAAATTCCATTTGTAGTAGTTTGAGGAACCTCCACACAGCTCTTCATAGTGGTGGGACTAGTTTGCATTCCCACCAGCAGTGTAGGAGAAACACCTTTTTCTCCACATCCTTGACAATGTGTTTTGTTTCGTGTGTGTGTGTGTGTGTGTGTGTGTGTGTGTCTGTGTTTTAATGTGCTGTTCTCACTGGCAAAAGGTGGTATCTCATTGTGGTTTTTATTAGCATTTTTGTGATTACAAGTGATGTTGAATGTTTTTTCTTGTATCTGTTGGCCATTTGCATTTCTTCTTTGGAAAAGTGTCTTTTTAGCTCTACTGCCTATTTTTTTACTGGGTTGTTTACTTTGTTTTGCTTAGCTTCATTAACTGTCAGTCTTTGTGATCAGTCCCTTGTTGTTAGTATTGTGTGCAAAAATTTTCTTCCAGTCAGTGGGGTGTCTCTTTGGTTAGGCTAATGTCTCTTTTTCTGTATAGAATTTCTTTAATTTGATGTAATCCCATCTGTTTATTTTTTCCTATATTTTCTTTGCTTTAGGTGATGTTACTGATATGTATGTCATGTAGGGAAAAACCCAGGTTTTCTATAGCTGAGGAAAGAAGTTCAGAAGGTGGTATAGGTCCTTAATTTTAAAGATCACATAGGAATATTTTCAGTGCATAGAACACATCTGAGATAGTCAGTTGGAAATAACATCTTGATTCTTTTTTTCTCATTTCATAAAACACCATTTGGTCTTTCCTATCCCGAGACCACATTTCCAACACAACACTGTCCTCATGTGATTAAGGGTAAGGACTATTTACCTTTCGGACCATCATTCATATTGGGCCATCAGTTTTCTAATGAAACACTGAAGAAAGAAATGGACTTCATTTTTGTTAGTATCAGTGGATTGTCATCATAAGACTTTTGAGTTGTTACTATTTATCTTCTATGAAATGATTAAAAACAGGTGAAAAAATCTTGGTCAGCCAAGTGTCATTTAAATATAATTGTCACAACCTATCAGCCAGTACTTGTCATTGCACAGATCAGATTATTCTAGTACTGAGAGGATGTAACTTACATAACTTCATTCTCTATAAATAATGGATCAAGTCCCCTTCAACATTGTTTTCTGAAAATAGACAAAGATCATTGGTTGCAATACCATGGAAAATGTTGAACTGGGTAAAATTGTAAAGGAGATTATCACTTAAAAAAGAAAGTACAAGGGACTATCATGATGGTACATAGTAAATTGGTGGTGGGAAATTCATGTGGAAACCATTGTACAAAAATGAAGGATGATGTAATGAATACATTAAAAATTAAAAAATAAAAATAACTATTATGAAAAAAGAAGGTATTCAATACTGCTTAAATTTGGTTATCTTTCATTCTAATTCTTACAAATATAAGTATATAGATAAAATGTTAATGTATATAGATAAAAATTGCATTTATGTGTGTTTGTGTGTGTGTGTGTGTATAAATACTAAATACCCCTTGTAGTTTTCCTTTAGGTTAATATTTTTACTGTGAGCTATTTTTAATTTGATCTGATTTACCAACAAATCTGACTGAGTGACAAACATGCATAAAATCATTTGTTCTCTAGGAACACTGTAGTTACTAGCATAAAGAGATCATTCTCATAAAAATGACTGTAGGTGTAATGGTGTGCTAGAAGTCACGGAATTTTATCTTTGATCATACAAGTCAGAAAAAGAAGCAGAGGCAACATTTTCAACCCATGAAAAAAAGAGGCTGAATGGGAACTGGTAGAAGTGGATAGCGGAAAAGTTTTGCATGAGGATGGCTCCATATGGGTCATTTTGGAATTGTGTGGTTCATATTTATATTCTCATAAATGTAAATAGATCACTGATCAATAATAGCTTATTTTGGAAACCAGAAGCATTCTCTGTGTCTTTTTTTATCTCAAAATATGTAGCAGATTGCCAATATTTTAATTACTTTTTATTTGGTAAGCCAGGAATCTGAGTGACCCTTTCACTAACCCTGTTTTCACTGCACAGTGGGTCTTGTGCTAGACAGACTTCCTGATCATTGAAGAGAATTAATATGAGCCAAGTGCAGAAATCTGTTCAGGTTATTATAGTCTAACAATGATAGTTCCAGTGTATCTGATTGTTATCCACATTTTCTCCAGTTATTATATTACCCAGTAAATGTGTTTGTCAATTGTTTATATTTTTGTTGTTCCAGATACAGATGTGGTGTATAAAAGTGAAAATGGACATGTCATTAAACTGAATATAGAAACAAATGCCACCACATTATTACTGGAAAACACAACTTTTGTAAGTAATGAATTAATAATTATCTTTTGCATTTTGGAATTGTTTGGAACGATTTCTAGGAATACATAACTGTCTTTTTTTTTTAACCTCAGCAGATGCAAAAAATTTCATGTGAAAGTTAGGGGTGGAATATCATTAGAATATACAAATATGTTGATCAAGAATATCCATGTAACCATATGCTCTGGTTCCCTAATTTATCCTTTTTATTAAATGAGTACATGAGAACAATTCTACATTAGGATGAGTAGTTCCTCCTATATTTTCTATATAAAATTACTCATGGACATACCAAGGTGTTTTTTTTTTTTTTTAACATTTAGTTCAAAGCAACTCATAATTAACTTTTTCTCCTTTATTTTTCATTCATCTTCATTGATTTTGAATTCTATTGTCATTTACTGAATAAAGTAGAAGATAGGCTTTTTAAAACTGCTGGGGTTGACATATTTTACTTTTATGATTTGAGATTCTGCCTGTATCACTTTCTTCTCCATAATCTCTATTTACCCTTACAATGTTCAAATGGCTGGCAGTATAAATGAAAATGAACATTTCTATAGGTAAATATATTAATCAATCAGTCCAATTTTATCCTTTGTCAAACAATTGACCCCTTTTATCCAAATTTCCCACTCTTTTTTCTCCCCTTCTGGTTGCTAGTTTGATCTTATTGTCCACAAGTCTATTTTATTTATGTATTAATTTTAGTTCATTTATTTGTTTGACTTCTTTCTGAATATCCCACATGTAAGCTCTGTCTTTCTCCATTTGGTTGATTCCACCAATTGCAATGCCTTCTGTGTCCACACATTCCATTGCAAATGGGAGAATTTCATCTTTTTTAAAGAAAAATATGCTGAGTATTAGTTCTTAGATGCCCCCTATAGATACTAAGGAGAGGGTAAGGATTGTTTGAGAGATGTAGGAAGAGGAGAGGGTAAGGATTGTTTGAGAGATGTAGGAATCATCTAGACAAGAGATAGGGCAAGAGGCAGAAAGTAGGGGTGGGTAATGATGAGATAGCTATGAAGTGATTTTAATAAAATTTGTTTAGAGAACAAAATTAAATGCATTTTCATTTTGGTTTCCTTAATTGTAATGTAGCTTTTTAAATCTTTAAAATATATTAATTATATCACCCTTCATTTTTATATATTATATGGTTTCCCCATGAAATCCCCACTACCAATTCATCCGTTCACCATTACTGTAATTCCTTGTGCTCTTCCCACCCATTTCCTAGTTCTTCTCCATTTTTTTTTTAAAAAATTAATTATTTGTACATACAGAACTGGGGTACAGACCAGAGGCTCAGGGGCGGTGAGAGGCTTCACCAGAGACAGAGAGGGGAGCAGAACAGGCAGATCGACAAAGTACACTGCTGAGGGGAGCAGTGGGCGCGTCAGGAGAGGTCTGCCACGCCATGTGGTCTCCTCCGGGGCAGGCGGGAATCGAACTCATGCGGAAGTGGCTTTAGCTTCTCAGTGCAGTGCTTTAACCCATTGCGCCACCAGGGAGGGCCCTCTTCTCCATTTTTTTTTTTTATAAAGAATTTAATTTATTTGTGCATACAGAACTGGGATACAGGCCAGAGATGTGGAGGGTGAGAGAATTCACCAGAGACAGAGTGGAGTGCAGAACAGGCAGATCAACGAAATACACTGTTGAGGGGAGCAGCGGGCGGGTCAGGAGAGGTCTGCCAAGCCATGTGGTCACCTCCGGGGCAGGCGGGAATCGAACTCATGAGGAAGCGGCTTTAGATTCTCAGTGCTGTGCTTTAACCCGCTGCGCCACCAGGGAGGGCCCCTCTTCTCCATTTTTAATAGGGTATATATAGACAATTAGTGGCCAAGAAAACAAGTAAGATACACTCAGTACATATGTATTTGGTTATGTGAATTTGTCTTAAAAAAAACTTCCTTTGTATTGATAATTATTTTTCAGCATTTATTAGTTTGTTGGTATTTTTCAGCATTTATTAGTTGCTTTCTTAGCCTCTATGATACAATAAAAATGAACAGGCAAAAGCTTTTTGGTTATTATCCCATTATTCCAATTTTGTAGTCTTTAATATACACACTACCCTATCTCATCTCATTGCTGGTTTTTCCATGTGCTGATTAATGCCATTTTATCTCTGTGCTTGAATATTTAATCTTTTAAAATCCTTTTGAAGTCTATTTCTATTCTCCTCTACGTTGGCCATAACTCTTATCCACAGAGTCATGGTTAGCAAATATTCTAATTTACTCTTCTTCTATGATCCATAGTCTCCCTAAAGGCATTTATCTCACAACATAGATAATTAACCAATTTATAAGTCCAAGAGGTGTAAGAATTCAATGGAGTGGGGGTGTATAAGAGATTACAATGCGGTATATACTTGCAACCAGTTAACCTAAAATTTTGAACAAAAATTAAAAAAAAAATTCTAGATAATTTCAGAGGAACTCAATTGAACAGTTCCTCTCAACTCCAAGATAACATGAAATATCGATTATAAAGCTCATGTTAGGGTAAGGTCTGGGTTTACTTTCTCTCCCAACATATTCTGTTGGAGGGGGAAAAAATCTGTTATCAAAACATTACTTACAACTTTACTTATATTGCAGATTTTTCATTCAGCAATTGTCAGTATCTTTATAAAAAACAGTAATAATTGTATCAGATCATTATAAAATGTTTCTTTAATAAAGGTGTAGCAGGTCAGTTGAGAAAATAAATATACTATCGATTTAAAAATGTTATATTATGGTGGCTTATTTTTGCTAAAATATGACTGCCAATTTATTTTCAAAATTAAAATAGCAGTGCGCAGTCATTTCTCTAATTAAATGCATTTTAAATTTGGATACTGATACTTTAGCTTTCTAATCATGATTGCACACTATATAAACAACAATAATTTGGGACATAACTGTTAGTAATACACAAAAGTAAAGTCATTTCCCTGAAATAATTATTAAATCATGCTTTTTGGATAGAATACAGATGGATTTTCATTGGAGGAGGAAATTGAGAGGTGGTAGGTATTTCTTCAAGAGGAGTTAGGAGAAGTGATTCAGCCCCCAAATTACTCTTAATCATTGCTACATGTTTAGAAATGTTATCACTTAAAACAAAAAATATTGAAAGCATAAGTTCATTCACAATGATATAATGAAGGAAATGTTTCCTAAGTGTTAGCTGTGCTCACTCTGAAGTCAATAATTTAAACATCACTCGTAGTACTAACAGAATATACTAGCCATCATAACTATTTTTATCAAATCACTTTTAAAATTAGAAAGTAACTGAAGACATGTATCCAGTCTATGTGCTTAAATACTTTTTAAGAGGTCATATATTAATATTGTATGGAAAACTATTAAATAAGAATCTTACACTTAAATCTGTCAACTTTTAAAAATATCCTACGATAAGGAAGAAAGTCATATGAAGCAGAGCAATTACAAGAAAAATGTTAGCTACACATATTTTGGTCAAATTGTACTTTCATAAGTCATTATAAAACAGTAGATTTGACTAAAGCTAGGAAATGCTTATGATATATCATGCATAAATATATCCTCCATTGGCTTGCATGCCATTGTAGTATTTTTATTTTTTCATTTGTTCTGTCACTGACTGTGTGTTTTGGTGGTGTGGGAGGAAAGGGATTGGACATGAATAGATCCAACTCATTGTGCCACAATGAAATCAAGCACTTATTTTCTGATTCACGTTTGGGAGATAGCTGCACTATTAAAAAATCAACAATACAAGTAAAGAATTTTTGGTTAAAGACACCCCAGATTTCACATATTAAAGTGTGAAATAAAGGTCATCAGTAATTTATGACTGGCTAAGCCATCCTCATATGCTGTTTGTAATATGCAGAGTTTGTTATTTTTTTAAAGCTCTGGCCTTGGTGTATGTTGGTATCCAGCAGTAGTTTTAGTAGTATAACTAGTATGATTAGGCACTGATGTCAGGAGAATTGTATAGTTATGCTTGTTTCTGTGTGTATAATGATAGTATAGTTTTTTCTATTTATCGATCAGTAGTTCAAAGCTGGGGGCACTTCTGCCCCCAGAAGATATTTGACAACTCTGGGGGCATTCTTGATTGTCATGGCTAGAATGTAAAGAGTTTGCCGCTATGGGAATGCAGTCAGCAGAAGTGAGAAATTCTGTGAAACACTCTACAAAATGCAATTGTATCACAGGATATTGTGATCCCCACAATAAAGATACAGCCAAAATTGTCAGTAGTGCCATTTGAGAAATCCTGTTGTAGACAGAGAAAGAAATCTATGTGATGATTAGAGGGTAGGTTTCTAAGGGTGGGATCAAAGCAGTAGCACTTATGTGTATTTGTCAAGAAGGTTCATATGTTTTAACTTCGAGCTTTCTTCTTCATAGATGACCAACATACTTGAGTAGATTCAGTGGACCTTGAATTTCCTCAGAGTATGGGGTGAACATTTGACTCCAGTTTTCTTATAGTTGGGTGAAAATATTTCTAATTGAAACTCTTATTTGGCCATTGTCAACTACCCTGTCCAAGGAGCAAGCATTGCTCATGAAGTTAGAGGGTTAAAACTAATGGCTAATTGGGACACCAACCATTAAATTATTTCCATTGGTGGGGTTTATTAATAAGTAATTAAATTTAATTGTCTATTGATTAAGTATATCTTTCCTCTGCCCAGTATCAATCATCGCTCCTACTATTAGATATACTCATTTCCTTCATTTTTTATGATGCCCCTTAAAAGTTTCTACTTTTTGTATCCCTATCTATTACAAGAATGACTGGGAGTGCTGGTACACACCTGTAGTATTAGCTACTACAGAAACTGAGGGAAGAAAATCACTTGAACACAGGAATTCTGGGCTATTGTGGCCTATGCCGATGGTGTCCATACTAAGTCCAGCATGAATATGGTGACCTCCCTGGAAAAATGATCATCATATTTGAGATTATTTAAATAATTTATAACTCAGTCACTGTTA